TCATTATTATACAATATCTTGGGATGCAATGTCATGGGCCTTGGGAGAGCCTTAGAGGTCACTGAATGCATCAGAGCTCCCTCTTCACCATAGGTAAGGGAGATGCAACACTGGATCTCCCATCCCCACCACCCTGATGATGCCCTGATGATGCCAATGCAGGTGGGCCAACATTAGTTGAACCATTGTAGAGTTACAGCGCCTGCTGTGGATGTGGTAACCAATATGGGGGAGACATGTTTTATTGTAGGTGGGGCAGATGAAGGTATCCAGTTTTGCTGCTGCAGATGCACCATGGGAGTTCTCCATAACTGAGGCACCACAACAGAGAAAGCCCTCTCTCTCTTAGTAAACCTGTAAACTTCAGAATGAGGGGATACAGGGAGAAGGGTTCTGTTTATGATCTTAAGGTCCAGGCAGGAACATATGGGAAGAAGCAGTGCCTTAGGTACCAGTGTCCTTCCAGTCATCTGGATGATAGCTCCCCAAAAAATGCCACCATCAAATCAAGGGTTGTTTTACATAACAAGTCTTTTAAGTGAATATCTTTTCCCCAGTGTGTATCTGTATTAGATTTGACTTTTTTTTATATGTAGAATTATTTTAAATCATTTTAATTGTTAGTATTTTTTTTACTGTGAAGTTGCTTTGAGGTGTTTTATGGGAAGCAATTAATAAGTGGACACAAATAATAAAAAACTGCCAGTTATTTGGGAAATGCCCACCTAACTGCCCCCCTGGGTGCAATCGGTGCAGTGCCTCTAGATTTTTCATACCATTGTTGACTTATATGTTAATGCTCGTGGCGGTGCCCTGTTTGAAGATTAGGGGGATAACAAATGTCCTTTTTGAGTTCCCACCATTATAAACCTCCAGCTGGATGCCTTGATGCAATTATTTCCTTGTAAACCTATTGCAGCCCATCTGTTGCTGCAGATGCCGTTTAGCCTGGGAGGTCTAGAAAAGGCCCTGAATTAGCAGAGAGGAACCATCAGCGACCAAGAACACGAGCCACCGGCCATGGCATATCAAAACGGTGTCTCTTCTTTTCCAAACCAGCATTGCTTCCAGAGGAGGCAAAGCACATTCCATAGAAAAGAAGGGACCCATGCCTTTTCAACTATGTTCTGTAAGAGAGAAGCTCCCATAAAACAAAATTTAAAAATAGCATTAGCAGAAGAACTGCCCTGAACACTACATTTATATCCTATCTTTTCTCTGAATAGACGACCCTGGAAAGAGATGGTCACTTCCCCAAGGTCATTCACAGAGCTTCACGACTGAGGATGGATGGAACCTGAATGACCCATATCTAAGGCAAACATCCCACTCACTGAACCACACAGAACAGAACCATTGTCATGGCTTAGAGCTCAGCACCTCTTTGTTGCCTTAGATTTGATATTAACTTCATGCCAGTAAGGGGTGGGTTGGGAGAAACCCACTTACTCCTCTGCAGCATTGCACAAAGACAGAATTTCATTTATTAACTGTGAGGTGACAACTTTTAGATGTTCTTATGTATTTTGAATATGCATTTGTTTTTTTAATTAGTTTTGTTTTGCTGCTTTGTTGCTTGCCACTTTGGGCAGCTTTTGGAGGAAGGGTAAAACAGAAGGACGCCTTCTTCAGAATTAGAGGGAGATGAAGTGTTGGTGCTGCCACCATATTTGCAGCAACAACACAATTTTAAAACTGTGTGTGTGGTGTGAGAGCCCATCTTGAGTGACACAGGGCCGTGAACCAGCCCCGTGTAGGGTCTCCCAAACTGTGGAGTCCAGGGCAATCGTCCTGATTCACCATTCCCTAGGGATGGCACTGCTTAGAGGCATGCCATCATACATTACTCTTGGAAGAGGGTTGGACTAGATGACCGTTGAGTCTACAATTCTATGAAGCTATGATTCTATGAGCGGAGCCATGATACTCTGAGTAACTGTCAGCAGCTTCAGGATCTGTATGCAGCTCACCCAAGCAGTGAACTATTGAACTGAAGGTATCAGCTTCTCAACAAAGTCCCTTGATTAACTTCAACTGCCCAGGCTGGACCCTGGATCTCTTTTGGGGGACATGAAGGAGTAAAAATGGCTTCCTCCTCCAGTTTAACTATATGGGTCTTCCTGAGTTCTGGTGTATTCCTAGTAATTATTTGGTCCTAGGTTCTGGATTGTTGCTTGACCTCGTATTCTGGTTTGTCTCCTGGCTATTTCTGGTTCTTAGGACCTGGTTGCTGGTCCCTGGTTCCCAAGTGGTTCTGACTTATTACTTAACCCTGATTACACACTGGAGCCATGGCTTCTGTTTGCTGTCACTTGACTCCCTCCAGACCTGCCCATGGCCCAGTCATGACATTAACCTTGGTCCAGTCTATCTCTCTGCCTCAGAGGGCTGTTGTGATTACAAAATGGAATAACGCCATAGAATCATAGAATTGTAGAGTTGGAAGGGAGCCCTGTGGTCATTTAGTCCAACCCCCTGTAGTGCAGAAATCTCAACTAAAGCATCTCTGACAGTTGGCCATCCAACCACTGCTTAAAAACCACCAAGGAAGGAGCATCTCCAACTTCCCAAGGGAGACCCATCCACTGTTGGAACAGCTCTTACTGTCCATGTATGTTGCCTTTGAGTGGGAAACTAATGTAATAAATATAAACGATTATTAATGCAGTAAGAATCCACCTCTTTTGAACAAGAGCCATGGATCTGTCTGTTTCTCCCATCACCACACATACACAGCATCTCCTCAGGGACATATTACTGTGCTAGCTCTGGCTGCCACTCAGATATATGTGTGCAGAATTCATCAGATTCAATCTGATATCCGGGTCAGAATCTGAATGTCTCCTTAGTGATGCTTTCGGCGCTTGTACTTTGCTTCCCCCAAAAGTCTACCTTCAAGTTTATGGGTGTTCATGTTATTTATATATCTGCACTAAATTTTTAATAGCAAATGAGAACTTGTCCATTAGTCATTATTAAATATTCAGTTTAGGCACGGTGGAGATTAATGGTAAAATATAAAATGAAATACTGTATCGGAAGCCTATAAAGTGCAAATGGATAATTAGAGGTCGCAACATTTTGTTGTTTATTAGGCAAGTGTCACCGTAGGTGGATTCAATCTTGCATGTACATTTTAGGAGTCAACCTGCTGCAATTAAGGAGGATTCTCGAAACCTTGCAGACTTACACACCTATGGGAGTTAGTCTCCACACACAGCTGCTGTTTGGGGGGGGGGAATTGCTGGCTCCTGTTCTCCACCCACAATTGTGGGTACATAGAACACAGATTCTCTCCCTCCAGCCCTACCTCCCCAAACACATATTCTGGGCTGGAGCTCAAGATGTTTTGCATACAATTCTGGATCAAGGAGCTGTCAGGAAAGCAGCAGCATTTCAAGGAAGGAGAGGGGGGAAACAAAAAAAAACCCTCACGAGCCAAAGACACCTTCACCTTGAGAATGCCGCAAGGAAGCAGCAGAGAGAGAATAACTTTGGTTGGCCAAAGGCAAAATTATTGTGGAACACTGCTGAGACATACAGCATTTTATGTGCACCTGTAGATCCTCTTTAAAGATGTCTCCAGGCAAATGCATCTGCACGAACAACTTTTTATTTGCACTGGTGGGTGGGTGGGTTGATTTTTAAATATCGGCAGCCTTTTCATTTTTTTGCACATATCCTGCAGAACTCAAGATTGAGGAGAACGAACTTTGAAGTTGAATTAAGTTTCTTCAGTTCAGCTTTCATGTTATTTAAATTCAGCTCTATGTAAAGGTAAAGGGACCCCTGACCATTAGGTCCAGTCATGGCCGACTCTGGGGTTGTGGCGCTTATCTCACTTTATTGGCCGAGGAAGCCAGCGTACAGCTTCCAGGTCATGTGCCCCGCATGACTAAGCCACTTCTGGTGAACCAGAGCAGTGCATGGAAATGCCGTTTACCTTCCCGCCGGAGCGGTACCTATTTATCTACTTGCACTTTGACGTGCTTTCAAACTGCTAGGTTGGCAGGAGCAGGGACCGAGCAATGGGAACTCACCCCGTCGCGGGGATTCGAACCGCCAACCTTCTGATCAGCAAGTCCTAGGCTCTGTAGTTTAACCCACAGCACCACCCGCGTCCCCAAATTCAGCTCTACTCAGAGACAAATAGGGCTGGTGTCTGCCAGTCAACAGCTCTAAGGAAAGTGCCAAGGACAAACAGTGACCAAGGCAGGGCTGTGGAAGGGACTTGGTGACAGGCTGCTCTTATTCTTACTGATTATTGGATTTATAATATACCTTTTCTCTAAGGAGCTCAAGGTGACCTCCATGGTTCTCCCCCTCCTCATTTAATCCCCACAACAACCCTGTGAGGCAGGCTAGGGTTCAAGGCAGTGACTGGCCCAAGGTCACCTACTGAGCTTTATGACTGAGTGTGGATTTGAACTCTGGTCTCCCAGGTCCTAATACGACATTCTAAAAACTACACCACACAGGGTCTCTAATCTAGCCATTTGATCAGGGTGAGTTTTTGCATATCTTTTTAGTGCTGTAGTTCTGAACATCTGCAGCGACCAGTTCAGTTCCTTACAATCCACTTGCATCCCATGTGCTGAAGCTAAGCTGGTCTGTGTGTGGTTAGTGCAAGAGTGGGACACGCAATCGTCCATGCGTGCCACCTTCAATTCCATTCTAGAAGAAAGATGGGGTATAAATAAATAAAATGCTCTTAAGATCTGCTGTTTGCTGCAACACCATCTTGCATGTTGTCCACCACCAAAATCTTTCCCTTCATCTATGAAAAAACGAATTGGCATCCCTGTGTGATTAGCCACAATGGTTTCTTTACATGGAAGCACTTTATGGGCTATTCATTACTGATAGATCTTTCATCGGTCATTAAGAAATGAGCGTACGCAAACTCTCCGGGATTAGAAGGATTTCTGCTATAGCATTGAAAGCCTAAGCTGCTTTATAATGAGTCCTGCCGTTTTGGACATGTCACGATTTACAATTCTGCTGGGATAGCTCAGTCTGGAGAGCGAGAGACTCTTTATTTCAGGGTCGTGGGTTCGAGCACCACACTGGGCAAAAGATTCTTACATTGCAGGTGGTTGGACTAAAAGACTGTTCTCTGTACTGAATCAGACGACTGGGCCATCTGTACTGTGCAGGGGTAGGAAACCCTTTTCAGCTGAGGTTCCTTCTGGGCAACGTTCTGGAGACCACATGCCAGCGGTTAGCAGGGCTGGAGGCAAAACTGGATGGAATGGTATCCAATTGGCAATGAAGGTAAAATGTAAATGGTTAACCTCCGTACAGTGGGCTGGTTTCTGCATGTACTTATGCACACCTCTTCATTCTCCATTTGGGCAAGCAAGAAGCAGCGTCAGAGTTCAAGGACACAATCCAGCCAGGAAAAACCCTCCAGAAGGATGCAAACCAGAGTCAATGAGGGGGTGTCGCCTGGGAAGAGGGAGTGTGGCTTGGGAGGAAATGTGGCCCAGGGAGTCCTGAGGGCCAGATACAGATGGCTACATTTGGTCTACAGATCTGAGATTCTGCCCTCCTGCAGTATGATCTATTCCAACTGGCAGCTGCTGTCTATGTCCTTCAGCAGTTTTTTCTCAGCCATATTGCTTGAGACTCTTTAAGCAGAGATTCCTGGGGGTTGACGCTTAGGCCTCCTGCCCATGTTTTCCCACTCGGCTATTGTCAATCTGAAACAGACCATGCCATTATAATGACTGCCACCAGCAGCAGCAAGGGTATGGACGAGAGCCATAGAAAGAACTGGGTTTATATGCTATGTGAGTCTGAGCAAAATAGGGGCCCAATTTCCGTTGCCAGCATTGCAGGACAGTAGAAGCTGAAACATTGATGCAGGCCGAAGCACCTGCACTAATTAGGCTGCTACTTAATTAGATTTGCTTCTTGATCAGTAGCAAAGCTACGTACGCACATGTCTTGGAAGTACACAGCGTATTAGTGCAGAGACCTGGAAAATGCCAAGAGCTGAATAATTTAATTTAATTGATTTTGGATATGGCTAATGGAATCCATCCTGAGGTAAAGAAATTGCCTTGAATGTAGCTGTGAATGAAAGCAGGACAGTGGCTGCTGCAATTTTGTATGTGGCTACCAATTTTCACGTGGCTAGAGAGAGGTCACGGGATGATGCACAGAAGGGCCTGCTCATACCTTGTCCCCACGGCCTCTGCCAGTAGAGAAGTAGGGTTGGTTCCCCCGTGCTTTCCTATCCTGCCCTCATCACAGCATGGTGGTGACATGACTCTAAGGGGAAGGGACACAATCGCAGCTGACCCCTTTTGGTGGCATAAGGTGCCTTCTGCCCCAAAAGGGTCTGTTTCTCAGAGTCCATCTACTTTACTTGCTAGCAATTGGAGTAGCCTTTAAATGCTGTGGCGCCAGTGAATTAAACCAAATGATAGCCAAATTATTGTGTTTGGGGATCCACTGGTAGCAATCACTCAAGGGAAGGCAAATGATGGTTAATACTCAGGCATAACCTTTTCCTTCTCTTGTGCAGGGAGCATTATTCAGTAAGGGAGGGCACAAAGGTCAGGATCCACTACCAGATCTCTGGGTCATTTGCAGCAGATCACCCTACTGGCTCTCCGTGACAACAAAAAGCCCTTTCTCTTTCCTAAATTGTTGTTGTTGTTGGCACCTGTCTGCCTCCCTGGGACACAAGCTTGGTCAGTGTGTATGGAGGTCCTGGGCTGCCCAGATGACAAGACCCTGCTCTTGGCCTCACTGATGTGGTCCAAAGGAAGGAGGCATACAAGATGCCGTCCCACCATCTTAAGGACTCCACTCTGGATTTGTGTAGGGTTTACCCCTTACCCTTTCCTTTTCCTAAAGAAAATGGAAAAGGCAGCAGAGGTTTAGGATTTGAGTTTTCCTTTTCCTATATGGGCCACCTTCCTAGCTGGACAATCCCCATCTGCCCCCTCCACAGCACATGCAGACATCGTTGGACCCATTATTGGTTTTGTCCACTCCATCTGCCAGACCCTGTATTTGCATGTCCCTAACTCACCAAGGGATTGAGACTCATCAGCTGCCCTCACCTGGTTTAGCCAGCCAGTTGAAGCTGTTCTTGGGATGTGGTTGCTGTTGCATGGTGACAGCTTCTATTTTTTTTTTTTTTTAAAATATTTTTATTGCATTTTTTCCACATAGAAATACAAAGTCGGATATACAAAGAAATAACAGAAAAGAAAAAGAAAAAGAAAAAAATCATCTTTCCAAAGCATTTTTCTATAACCAACCGGACTTCCCACGTCTCCCTCACCTTGCGTTCTTTACAATAAAATTTTTCAGCAAATTATAACCTTATTTTGTGCATTCTTTTGTTCTTTCAAATACTTATGGTTTACGTTTAAAATGCTTATTGTCAATTTACACTAATAACATATATAATGTTCTTTTAAACATTAGTCCTTTCATTAATATAGCTTAGTTTCCCATACCTTAATCTTATTGCTGGAGCTGAATTTCCCTAATCATGCGAATTCTTAACATTCATATAACTTATAAAATCTTTGTAAATAATCTTTAAATTTTTTCCAATCCTCCTCCATTGCTTCTTCTCCCAAATCTCGGATCCTGGCAGTCATCTCGGCCAATTCCATGTAGCCCATCAATTGCGTCTGCCACTCTTCCAGTGTGGGTAAATCTTGAGTCTTCCAGTATTTTGCGATAAGAATTCTTGCTGCTGTAGTTGCATACATAAAAAGGTTCTATCCTTCTTTAACACCTTCTGGCCGCCAATGCCCAGTAGGAAGGCCTCTGGGTTCTTGGGAAAGGTGTACTTAAACACCTTTTTAACTCATTATAGATCCTTTCCCAGAAGGCCTTCACTTTTGGGCAAGTCCACCAGAGGTGAAAGAATGTCCCTTCAGCCTCCTTACATTTCCAACATTTATTATCAGACAAATGATATATCTTAGCAAGCTTGACTGGGGTCATGTACCACCTGTATATCATTTTCATAATATTCTCTTTCAAGGCATTACATGCCGTGAATTTCATACCAGTGGTCCATAACCTTTCCCAGTCTTCAAACATAATGTTGTACCCAATGTCCTGAGCCCATTTTATCATGGCTGATTTGACTGTCTCATCCTGAGTGTTCCATTTAAGCAGCAAGGTATACATTCTCGAAAGTACCTTGGTTTTTGGTTCCAACAATTCTGTCTCTAGTTTCGATTTTTCCACCTGGAAGCCTGTTCTTTTGTCCAACTTAAAAACCTCTTGAATTTGAGCATAGTGAAGCCAATTTTGCACCTTATTCTTTAATTTTTCATAACTCTGCAGCCTCCAAGTTTCTCCTACTTTTTCTATAATTTCCCCATATTTCGGCCAACCAACCTCCATATTAGGTTTTTTCCGGGCCTTGGCCTCTGCTGGTGAGAGCCACCTCGGAGTCTTACCTTCTAATAAGTCCTTGTATTTTATCCAGACCATAAATATTGATTTTCTAACAATATGATTTTTGAACATTTTATGAACCTTTACCTTGTCGTACCACAAATATGCATGCCAACCAAAAGCGTTATCGAACCCTTCCAGATCTAGGACATCAGTGTTCTCAAGAAGTAACCAATCTTTCATCCAGCAGAAGGCCGCAGCTTCATAATATAATCTCAGGTCCGGCAGGGCAAACCCCCCTCTTTCTTTCGAATCAGTTAGTATTTTAAACTTTATCCGGGGCTTTTGCCCTGCCAAACAAACTTGGATATATCCTTCTGCCACTTTCCAAAACATTCCACTCTGTCCACAATCTGTAGGGTTTGGAACAAAAATAACATTTTCGGCAATACATTCATTTTTATAGCTGCAATTCGACCCAACAAGGAAAGTTTCAATCTTGACCAGATTTCCAAATCTTTTTGATTTCCAGCCAACATTTTTCATAGTTGTCTTTAAATAAATTCAAATTTTTCGCTGACAGGTGAACCCCTAGGTATTTCACTTTTTTTTACCACACTTAGTTCTGTTTCCTTCTGAAACCCATCTATTTCTGAAGGTGTCAAGTTTTTCCCCAAAACCTTGGTTTTTTTGCTTATTCAACTTAAATCCCGCCACCCGACCAAATTCATGAATCAGTTCTAATACTCTTTTTGTACTAGATTCTGGCTCCTGTAATGTTAAAACCAAATCATCTGCAAAAGCTTTCAATTTATATTGTTTCGCTCCGACCTGTATTCCTTGTATCAACCGGTCCTTCCTAATCATGTTCAATAACACCTCCAGGACTGAAATAAATAAAAGAGGGGATAGGGGCACCCTTGTCGTGTCCCTTTTTCAATTTTGAACTCATCTGTCACCACATTGTTCCCTATCAGATAAGCATTTTGCTCAGAATAATTTGCTTCTATTCCATTTTCAAACCCCGTCCCACTCCCATCCCTTCCAAATTTCTCTTCATAAACATCCAAGAAATATTATCAAAGGCCTTCTCCGCATCGATGAAAATTAAAACAGCTTTCGTATTGATATTAGTTTGTAAAAGTTCCAAAATATCAATAATGTTCCTAGTATTATCAAAGAGATGTCTCCCTGGGAGAAAGCCTGCCTGGTCCTTATGAATTACTTCATTAAGTATTTTTTAAGTCTGCTCGCCAAAATATCAGCAAAAATTTTGTAATCCACATTTAGGAGTGAGATGGGACGGTAGTTCTTAAGCTGAGTCTTTTCAGATTCCAATTTAGGAATCAATGTGATGAAAGCTTCTTTCCACGTTTCCGGTGCCCTCCTCCCCTCCATAATCTGGTTACAGACCTCCATTAGTGGTTGTATCAAATAGTCTTTTAGTGTCTTATAATACTTGGAGGTAAGTCCATCTGGGCCTGGAGATTTGCCTAGTTGCATATTCTGAATGGCACCCTCTATTTCCTGTTGTGTTAATCTATTATTTAAGATTGTCCTCTTCTCCTGAGATAGTTTTGATAAACCGTTAACTTTTAAAAATTGATCTATCTCAGACATTTCCTGAGGCCCTTGTGTATAAAGTTTTTGAAATATTTCTGAAAACACTTTCTAATTTCTTCTGGTTTCTGAAT